CGTCAACTATGCGATTATGTGCGGTGGTTCGACGGTGATAGCGCTGGTCTTTATCGATTCACATTACTACGGCAAAACTGTCTTGGTGAGTGAGAGATTGGCTGATCGATTAAGTGATCTGATTGATTTGTTATTGATTCGATTGATCGGTTATCGATTTAATTGATATTTATTTGTTATTTATTGATGGTGTTTTGTGAAAATTTTTGATGTCGTCGAAAGGCGACTGGAGCAGATCGTCGAGAAGCATTATTGCGGTTTTATTTCTGAGCAATCTGCGAAGAACACAAAGTGTTAAAAAATGAAACTCGGTCGGAAATTCCATCAGAATTTGGGTAATTTATAATTTTCAATTGACATACCTATCGATTACGTTCAGTTGTGTATAGTGGTAATGAATGCATTGTTTGTGTGCTGCAGGCTCCTCTGAATATTGTGCTCTACAACGTGTTCTCGTCGCATGGACCGAATTTGTATGGTGTTGAGGATTGGATATTTTACGTGAAGAATCTCTTTTTGAACTGGAATTTGGCTGTGGTGCTTGCACCGTTCGCTGTGCCATTGGCTGCGTTCGGTTATGTTCGAGTGCGATCGTCGAAACAACTATCGCATAGAATGCCTTTTGGTGGGTTAGCTGCGATCGTTTTCATTTCATTGTTTACATTTCAGAACTGATATGATAATGGCATAATAATAATAATCATTATTATACGAATGATTTTTAGAATACGCTTATCTATTCGTTTGTTTTCGTTGAAGCGCAGAAAAGTTCATCTGAAAAATTTGAATTTACAATTTAGAGATTAACTTACAATTTTAACTTATAATTTTTAGATTTATAACTGACAATTTTAGTTTAGAGTTTACAATTTACAATTTCGAATTTGCAAAATTTACAAATTTAGTTGAAAATTAAAGTGTATAGTATAGTATTAGAAGTTTTGATAGGTGATTTGAAGAAATTTTTTGAATATTGGTTGATAGGAGAGGATCGATGGAGTGGTCTGTCGAGTAAGTCGGGTGTTGAAATGAGAATGTGCATTCAGATTTTTCGTATGCTTACTGGCAACGTTTTCTACCGGTGTTATTCGTGTTTATGTCGATGTGCTTATGGCTGGTGATATTCTTCAGTCAACCTCACAAAGAAGAACGTTTCTTGTTTCCAATTTATCCACTGATTGCACTGCTTGCCGCAGTTACGTTGGATGCGATACCGAGGTGAGAGTTGATTTGAACGGGCGTTTTGTTTGTTATTTGATTTGGGTTTGGAATAATTGATATTACTTCATGTAATTGATATTAATTTAATAATTGATATACTTTATATTTGAATTCATTTGAATAATTGATATTACTTTATGTAATCGATATTACTTTGATAATTGATATACTTTATATTTGAATTGATTTGAATAATTGAAATAATTGATAATATAGACTACTTTATATAATGAAAGTGTTTGAATGATGAACATTAGATGAGTTTGATTAGATACGTTGTTTTCGTGTGAGATTGATGATTACTGCAGAGTTGGTACGAGCCTGTTGGGTGGAGGCACTCGAAAGGTGTGGCATTTTTGTGTGGGAGCGTATCTGGTCGTGTTCGTGGTGCTTTCCCTATCGCGATCGGCCGCATTGCATCGCAATTTCTCTGCCCCAATCGAGGTGTTCAAAGGACTGAACGAGCATTTGACCGTTCCGGCGAATCTCGACAAACAACGTTATCAGGCGAGAGAGGTTCGTTGGATGAGTTAGAAATTGTATTGAGTTGGTAGTGGTGACTATTGTTATGTGCTGATTTTGAAATTGAGTTAATTGTATTGAATTAATGATGTTAATTTTACTTTATTTTATTATTGAATATTTATTTTATTGAATTTTTGATTTTATTAATTTGGA